GGAGGAGTCTTCCCGATCTCCTGCCATCCATGCTATGCCCAGTGAAGCAGTATGTGCACTATGCAGAGGGAGTGGGGCTTATTTAGATGGCATTCACCACACCTCCTCTACACTGAAAGAGGAAAAAAAAAAAAAACAACACTGGCAGACAAGGCAGCTGGAGCTGGGCAGGGCATTGTGTATACAGCTGAGGGAAGATTACTCCAAAGGTAATTATGATTGGAGGCACAGATAGCCACTGGAACAGACTATTGAGAAATCGGCTTTTAGGCCTCGTTAAACGAGCGCCTTCATTGGCGTGCGCTGAGAGCTGAGTCTTTTTCGCTCTGCACACGGTTCCAAGCATGTCATCATTATCTACCTTCATTCACAAGGCTACAATGGATGCTGTTACCTGCGAGGAGCTCCACTGAAATCTTCTAAGATTTGTGCATTGCATATCAGTGACATATAAACATATAAGCCGGAATACAGGTAGATAGGTATAAATGTGCAGTATATTTATAACATTTAAATACAAGTGCAAGCAATGCGAAGGTTATACATATAGAGTAATTTAGTTTAGTTTCAGTTATACTGTATCTCAACTAATGTCACATCAACACAGTAATATTATATTCATTTTCCTATAGTAAAATTGTGACTATCCAGGAAAAACTGGATGCCGAATGCTTTCAGCTTTGAAATAGGATTACTGAATGGAAAATAAGCCTTTGGATAGTGAAAAGGGATTTCACATCATCATGTGCAGTGCGACCTTTGGGGGATCCCACCGATGTACAGACACCTTCAAGCTGAGAGATATGTAAGAAGGTTTTTCTGCCAAAATGGACGGCAGAGATTCCAGCTGGAGGGAGATAAAAGAACGTTGCCCCAGTGTTTTTCTTGCTTGAGAGACGGTCACCACCTTCTGCCTTACCTGTAGGTCCGAGCTGGTTTTCCGTACTCCTCCATGCGGGGATTCAAGGTGGGTTGTAGGACTTCCAGAATTGTGAAAGCCGTTCACTACAATTACACATAAAATATGCCTTTGCTTACTATCAGATGAAGCCTGTTGCAAACCAAGCTCACTAAACGGTTTCAAAAACATCTGAAACTGTAATGCTGTATATAATAAAGAGATCGTTAAGCTCTTACAGTACTTTAGGTACGAAGTTATTCTCAGCACCATTTTATTGTTATTATATCAGCTATTCAATGGCACATTAAATAGCACATTACGGAATCTGAGAAGGATCACCAATGGGTGTGGGTGTGGTACAATGGGTGTGTTAGATTTTGCTCTGACAGAGCTCTTAATTACCTAAGCTTGATTCAGTTCTTAGTCAAATGAATTTAATGAAATTAGAATAACAGAATATGATTAAAAGAATATGGGCTCTTACAGGTATTTAATAATGAACACAACTGAAGCCTAAGACGTGTAGCATAATTTTAATCATAAGATGAATTGAATCACTATGGTACACAACGGGTAACTAGAGTCAAGACTAGAAAAAAAAAGATTGCAAAATGTTTCCCTCAATGAATATAAGGACTGTCACTCTGCATTACAATACTGTCAAGTGTAAATAATTACAAAAAAAAAACCAATAACCTCATGCCAAAATGTTCTGCAGACCCCTGTTCTGTCTGTGAGCTGTTTGCATGCGATCTCTATGCTTGACTGGGTTTTCTTCCAGATATGTCGCGTTCGTCCTACCGTCATTCACGTCAGACACGTAATTCAGGCAAACTGGCAATAGCGTATGGCTGTGTGAGAGAATGTGTGTGTTTGTGTGAGAGTATTGTGATGATACGTAGAGCTTAGCTGCCTACACCTCATAGGAGAGCATCCAGACCAGCAGCTCCATTACTAGATGAAGCACGAATTGTTAAACACATATTTGAGGTATCACTTCCTATATTAATACTAAGCTCTACCACAATAAGAAGATCCCTATTATGTATCTTCTGCTAATCAAAGCAAAAATAAAAATTAGTATGGACTCTGTTCATTGCAGAGATACATTTCTGTACTACAGAACAAAGACACACTCTTATTTCATTCTCATGTATGAGTAATAGAACCCATTTCAATTTTTGCAAAAGCTTTCCATAATCCTTGGAGATGATCTGTTTTTGCATTCATTTGTTATAATAATCTAATTATTTCTCTTGGGATGCATGTTAATGAAATTTGTGCCTAAGAGAAGAATTGAATTTACAACAACATTTAGCTACCAATAAATTCTACTATCTTTTCCAGTATATGCATTGTCAACAAAATACTAAGTCCTTTGGTCATTTACTCTGTTAAAGGGCTCTATTTGGAAAACAGCATAAAAAGATGGAAAGTCTGTTTTAAAAGCATTACGGGCATATTGCTGTATAATCTATAAAAGTATTTGTCTCTGATAGAGCTCAGGATGACACATGCATGCTTCATACCACTGAATACTGTCAGATACAAAAGGCACTAAAAATCTTTCACAATAAGGTTTAAAGTCCCCTGAAGTATAATTGTGGGGTGCTGAAAATAGCTTAATCATTTAACGTGAGTCATTTTAAATTAATGACAGCACACACAGTATTGAACATGAGGGTGTGGGATTTGAAAAGCACAGCACCCACTTCACAAATGTTGTGACTTATTGGGACCCGGGACGTTATTTCTGTTGACTTTCTAAAAGAAAAATTTAAAGGACTAAAGGATTCAGATGGTTCCAGTGTTCCAGGCCAGGGAGAAAATGAACTAAGAGGAAGTCTATAATCACCACTTTCTGTGGAATGTAATGTCCCCACTATCACAGAGAACATAGCCCAGAGGCTGGGTATTTGGGGTGAGGCTTTGCATTGTCACAACAGACCACATTAAGGGTTCAGCCCATCACAAAACAGGATGTGGAAGGAAGTTTCTTCCCATTAGATATTATTGTCTCCTGATCACCTACAGCATCCTGTCCCAAACTTGTTTAACTGTTTCTTGACTTGCAGGTGGAGCCATGACGCACAAAGAGCTATCTGTCCATGCATTATTCAGTTTACTGGAAAAAAACATCTTTGCACAGTAACAAAATGGTTCCTTCAAGAAGTCAAGCAGAGCGATACCTGCAGGTATGGAGTTCTTGTGTCTGATTGAATTAGTTGGGGTTCCAGGGGCATCCAAAGGTCGTTCCCATGTTGTTTCTGTAATAATAATAATAAGATAATAAATATTAAGTTCAAAATTCAAAACAACTTGAATTTTGGCTTCTCTGTGAATTAAAATAAATAATAATAATTAAAAAATCTAAATTAAAATGATTAAACAATAAAAAAACATTATTACAAATTATGATTAAATTATGATTAAAACATATATGTAAAAAAAATCTAATAGGAGTTTAACAAATTAGGAAAAGTGAGTGTTAGAGTTGTAACTGGGTCCTTGAAGTGATGTTCTGGATCATTATGTTTCAAATAAGTATAAAAGAAGAAGAAAAAAACGTGTTTTTGATGTGAGCAGAGCAGCTACCTGCTCATTCGGCCTCTCAGCACCACTGCCTTGCATTGCCAGTGCTGAGTATCATAAGAAGCAGAAGTCCTGTCAAAATAAATCATTCTGTGCTTGGCTATATGTGCATGGGTGCCTCAAAGCCAACAATGTTTTGGAGTCTTTCTGGCCTTGGACTTAAAAAAAAAACAATGTATGTAGCTTGCATTTCCTTCCCTGGTAACATTAGCACTGTAAATCCAAAAAGCCTTATATGCAGTGTCGCTGTGATTTTTTTATTCAAGAAAGAGAAGGAATTACTCTGACTGACAAAATACTGAACGGAACAATAAGCGCCTGTATGATTTCTCAGCACAGTTCATCTTTTGATAGCAATGTAAAAGAATGAAGTACAGAAAAGCACAAAAATTAGGACAGTTCCACTCAACTGGCAGCAGTGCGGTGCAGTTGGACAGCATATATGCGTATGAATGATTGGAAGTCTCTCAGGCCCCCTGACAAAACCAGTTACATTTTTTTACTCAAGCCAAAAACACAACAGTAGGGCAGCATTTAGAATAATTTTGAAGGATATGCAGTTTCAGTGTTTCAGTACCCTTGAGCAAGGAATTTCCTAATATTGCCCAAAATACAATTTAAAATGTTACATTTCCTAATACATGCTGTGCTTATACGTGACATATTGCGGCGTGGGTACCAGGCATGTCGATTGCACAATGGCTGAATGAGTAACACGGAGTTACAGTGCGGGAAAACACAGAATGACTTTACTGCATGTATGCCATTAATTCAGACAACACACACACACACAGGTTCACACAGACACACACACAGGTTTGTAATTATATCTTTGTGGGGACTCTCCATTCATTTCTATGGGGAAAACTGACGACCTTAACCCCTACCCAGCCCTAACCTTAGCCATATGTAGCCAAACAAAGTACAAGACTTTTGGCATTTTTAGTTTTTTGATTGTATTCACAGATCTTTGTGGGGACCTGAAAAATGGTCCCCACAACATCAAAAAACATTTATTTCCCACAAGGTAAGATCAACCTAATTACATACACACACACATACCACTATTTACAACTATTAACATTTAACACAATACATGACATAAATGTACGGCAAATATATGACAACATACTTGTTAACTTTACATAGCTATTTAGATTTGCCATCGGTCCAGCATGCCACCACACTGCCTGACGGGGATCCCCCAGCGCCATCAGTGGGAAATTCAGGGTAACATATCTTTCAGCTGGGTGCTTCCCCGGAGTTAATCACTATGAAAGGACATCAGGAGTATGCGGGCGTGACCAAACTCTATACAGAATCAATGGAGGTCGAAATTGGGGGCAAAAAGAGGGCATTCCTGGGAGGTTTTTCACACAACACATATTGCCTGAAACATTTTTGCTCCTCTGGATTTTCATCATGCATTAAGATGCAGACACATGTATTTTCTAGCTAGACTGAGAAGACTTACACCTAGCCACCGTGAAAGCAAATCTCCTATGGCATTCATCTGAGTTGGCAGACCGGGCCTTCCATTTCCTACCATTGCATTCTCTTTTAGCTAGGAACAACGCTTTCTGTCACTTCTTGATGATATTACCGACTTCCAACTGTAAAACATCTTCTGAGCACAGCAGGGTAGCATCCATGGAGTGCCAAAGGGTCCATGGCAACAACAAACCGAGAGGTTCTACTTTAGAACAAGGTAAAAGGCTAAAAGGAGGCCTGGAAAATGCTGACTGACATTCTCAGACTCCGGAACAAGAAAACAGGATTACTCTCATGGCAACCCTCAGAAATTCAGCCTTACCTTCTACACTAAATAAAATACAACCCATCAAATAAGCTGCCTGTCATCTTATACTGCACGGTCTGCTAACAAGGAATATCAATATCTGCTTTTTATTTGTGTTTGTTTTGTTCATTATATAAGTAAGAAAATAACACTAAAACATGCTTCATAGCAATTTGTGCATGTGTCCAAGTTGAATTTTGGACCTAATGCCATTCCCTTAAATATTAAAATCACTGTATCAGGTGGTATGTGATCCCTCTTGGTATATGATACCAACTGGAAAAGTGTAAACACATATGAATAAACTAAATTGTATCTGTGCAGTGCTATAAATTCAAAGTGCTAGCCTCCTTTCTGCTAATTACTTCAAACGAAACTTAAAATATAAACTAACATTTATCTTTTAGATGTAACGCTGCACCTGCAATGGGTCGGCACCCCATACTGGGTTGTTCCCTGCCTTGCGCCCATAGCCTCCCCGCGACCCTGAATAGGACAAGCAGTTTCAGAAAATGGATGGATGGATGGATGGATGTATCACTTCTAAGGGTCCTACAGTATATGCTTGAAAAAGAAACTTAATATGCATAAATAATTCTATATGTAAAATTGCGTATGTACTAGCACTCTGAATGAAAATCATTTAAATATCTATTAGATAATACTAGAAATGTTCTCTACACATATTTGTTAGTTTCTTGCATGTTGCTATTAAGAACAATTACATTAACCAAAAGGAAACTTTCCCAACAATGATTTCTGAAAGGTACAATCCAAATATGATTCATGTCAACTTGCAACCATTACATTGTGTAAGGGGCAAGAAATTCAAGGATTAAAGGATCAAAATAAAAACAGAATCTTAAAAAAAATGTGGCCATGGTGAAGTGAAGCCAGCTGTGAACATTCCTGGTGAGGTTTATGCAATGGAGACGGCTATTTATTTCCTGTAGTGTTGTGCAACTGTTTCCATCTTAGTTTCTGGATATTTTCTCCAATGTTTTCTTTGACTGTATAACTGAACCACATAGCCAGCATGTGGATTTTCCAAAAAAAATTGAACAGCTGACAGGGATACTCAGTTTATATTTCTCTGGTTCTCTAGATCAATAATAATAATAATAATAATAATATAAAGAGAATACTGAATAGTTTAGACATTGTTGACCAAATATTTCACGAAGAAAAGGAGAAGGTGCTATCATTGGACTTGAGTGTAGTATTGAATGCAGAAATCCATCATAGGTAAACAATGAAAGATGTAACCAAGTTTTGATCACATAAAGGCAGAACCTTGTAATACGGTCATGCACATATGTTTAGTTACACATTTGTATGTTTTAAGTAACTAAATCAAAAATTACAAATAAACAAATGATGAGTCATGTTAAGCCAATTAGCACTATGTGTCAGCTATAAAAGATTTATGACAAAACGCAAAATGAGACAACTAGCAGAGTTCCGATGAGTGGACGCTTCAACTGCAGATGCATTGGCTGGAAAACCTTTTTTTTTTTTATTAAATGTGTCATAGGGAACAGTCACAGATTCATGACAGCATATGTCAAAAAAAAAAAATGGAACAGTAGAACGGAACATTGGTTTCAATTTGAGGATCACAGAGGGGGTAGGCGGACACTTACCAGAATACAGCCTCAAAAACTGAACTGAATCAGAAGCAAAGTGACCCAGGCTAACCAATAGACACATCACCTGTGGCCTGTACTACGGACCAGGGTTACTGGCTTATCGGGGTACCTCGTCAGATTTAAGGTACCACAGTTTAAATGGACTTCATATTCGTCATATACTTACATTTTTCCCAGACTACCTTAAATCCGACAAGTTACCCCGATAAGCCAGTAACCCCGCTTCGTAGTACAGGCCACTGGTATAAGGAACTAAAACTGAGTCCCCAGGGTAGAAAGAAAAGAGTAATATACTGCGATGAGTCATCTTTCAACTTTTTTTATCCTGCTTCTAAATGGATTAATGTTTGTAGAAAGCCAAAGGGCACAGAGAGGCATCTAATGGCAGGCAGTCATTGATTCTGATGATTGCCCAACATATAATGGCCAAGGAATACAAAGCCAATTTACAGGACTATACGCGCCATGCATTTCCCTGATAATGTTCCCATATTCCATAAAGTTGTTTTATAAATATCAATGCTTTTACTGGCCACCCTTATAAACAGATCTAAATATCTTTGAAATATCTTTTATGGAAAGTTCTAAAGTGCGTTAATCTTCACCTTCTTCATCAGGTCCAGGGTTTTCTTCTGGCCTAAGAATGGCCTAATATTTCATTCCATACCTGATGAAGTGTGGCCCTACTCCTTATTATTCTTATAATTCTATTCTATTCTATTAGGTCCTTGGTATTAATACCACCCACTCTGTAGCCTCCATACACGGGATCTATTTATCTTTTGAAGTACAAAGAAGTCCACAAAGTTCCCACACTGCAAAATAAACATTCTAATTTTCACATTTCACTTCTGTAGCAACCCTGCTACTGTCACAAGCAAACAAATGCCTTATTTATATTTATAAAACTTAAAAATAAGCAATAAGCATGAACAAACTACTGTATTGGATAATCGTTTATTTCTTATGCCCCTCAAAATTATATAGAAAATGTGTGTATTAAAGGAAGCAATGCTCGATTAATATGCTTTTCATTTTGTAGTCCAGTAAATGCTAATTTTATGGCAAAGTGTATAACTGAGCTCTGTAATTGTGATCACTGAACTAATCACAAGTGGTTGTGGAAGATGGATGAATAACAAGAACATGCCATTGCGAGATGAGACTGGACACCAGAATGCAGCTGCTTCAGTAACGTTAAAATGCTGTTACCAGTGTGATGTCAAAT